CCTTGCAAAGTAAATAAACGTACTACCGCATGTGAATAAAGCTGGAGATTATACCTGTTAGACTGGCACCACTGATGATATCATAACAGAAATTAGTATCGCACCACAAACTCAATGAAAAACGCGCTGCAACTGGAGAACAGTAGGGAAGAATGCTATTCGAGGGCACAATGCAATATGACCATTTTATGACAATCCGTCGTGCTACATTCACTTACGATGTCAGCCGTCTGATCTATACTCTTCAGCTATTCGGATGTGAATGATAGAAAGATAAAAAGAGACGGCGAGTCAGAAATTTGTGCTTTCGCAGAACTGAGACAAAAATCTTTCCACCTTGCCAAGGGGGCATTTCATGTATGAAGAATTAGTACTAATATTGAAAATAAAACGAAAAATTGTTTAATTGATCACATAACAGAATATGGCTTAGTAGAGCTTTAGACGCCTAAAGGATTATCGACCTTAATCTCGCTGTATAATTTACTGTTATGAGCATTACCGTTTGTAGTTAACCAACTGAAACCAGCTGAAACTGCATGGTTCAGAAGGACTGTTCGAATATTATCAACTTACTCGCTGAAAACGAAGTAAATTGAATTCTAAACGTGGTTGCAATAAAAGCATGGCATGCAGTGCCATTCAATCCTCAAATAGCTGGATTTACAGACTTGGATCGCAAGCTCGAAAGGAACGTAAACCAGACTAGGTAAACGACTTAACTGAATGGATCATAGATAAGACTCATCTCTAAATCACCACATCATCTCCTAGCGACCTAGAGTAACCTTAAACAGGACTCCATGGCATTAGAGTGTATGCAGTGCATCGATGCAAAACCGCTTCTGTGCTCAGTTGAACAAACGCATGATCGAGTACCTGCTAATAAATGCGTAAAGTTAAGCGAAACATTTATCGTTATATATTTATCGATGAAAGCACAAGGGGTAATGTTCGAACATGATTTTGTTCGAACAGTATAGTGATACATTTTTGCATGCATAAAGTGCAGCTGCTATAAAAACGAAAAACTGTGATCTAATTAAAGGACAACCTAAGTCGCCAGGTGCAAAAGGATAATGCGATTACGCCATCTGAATCCGAAAAAGCAATATGTACATATAATGTAGACTAGCGAAATCGAAAACTACTTTTTGCCAGTAAACCGATATTACCACAGATCTGTCTTTATATGGTACAGATCAACTGTCCAATTTCTGAGAAAAGATTCAGCTGTTGAAGGAAACAAGCCATAACAATAAACGTCATGCCCTGTTCAAAGAGACGCTAGCATTAACTAACTTAACTGATTGATGCTAGCATTAACTGACTAATGCTAGCTGTAATTAATGCAATTTCTAACACGACTGACAAACACCAACGGGAGCCTTTGCTTCTTCATGTCGGAACTGTAGACGAAAACGAGGTCAAGTACTCCAGATTCATAATTAATACTGAGTAATTATTAACCGTATCAGGGTTCATGACAGACATTTACGGGAACTGTAGTATCTCAGAACTGTACATTCAACAGTACTTCAATCTGTCATGTGATCGATCCAGTTCTTTGGTCTTTTTCAGCTCTCGACGACAAAAACGCCGAAGCTGAAGCTTAGTTATGGAGAACACCGGAATATCATCATGATCCCTTTAGGACCACTGCTGGACGAAGATCTCTTTAAAACTTTGTCACAAAGCTCGGTTTTTTGTGATCTTATCCATCTTCATTCAATGAACTTCTTCAGTTCATCCTGCCATCGATCTGGATGATTTCCCATGGGCCGTATACTGTTCCTTAGAACCAAATCTAATATCTTTCTAGTCCGCCGACTGTCGATTCTTCTTGCAACATGTCCTGCCCATTACGACTTCAACTTCTTCAGTCGCGCAATGAAATAACATACTTCTATTTGTGCTGTTATCAATTCGTTAGTTTTCTTAACATATGCAGTTCTATAATGTCGCACAGTCCGCATTATACGAATAGCTGTCAGGCTTAGGAAACACATTTCGTATCCACAGGTTAGCACTGGAAGCATACACTGATCAAAAGCTTCCCGTTTCAAGTACAAGACTAATTTCTTGGATCAAATTTTTTTATCTTACAAAAGTCAGTGCTGTTTGCATTCATATGCTGACTTCGCCTGTCGATTCTCCGTAGCAAAAATGAGCTGTCTCACCTCACACAGACGTAGTTTGCACTTCTTCAAGCCTAAGTCCGTTGACTTAAACAAGTCGCACGTTCACCCGAGTCATCCTCCGATTCAATTTTAGTTC